GGATATTTTCTTAAAAAAATTAAACTTTCGTCACGCTAGAAAAACATTGAAAGAATATCTTCACTTTACTAATTATTTCTTAAAATATTTATAGTATAAATGTGCCGTAATGAAGATAAAGTCAAGCCTACCTTGCCAAAAATATAATTAACGAACCGATATGTAACGTTTTATCATGATTAAATGATCTCCAGGCTCTTAACAAATTTTGCTTTCGAAAATAAGAGTTCAGTTTTATGTTGATAATGTTATGCAGTGATGCAATATTATCAAGATAAAAGAGGTTCTAAATATTCATTGATGCATTGGCCGAATTTAATTATCACGTATTGGCACCAAAGTCAATTTGCGTCGGAAAGTTATTCTGCTTAATCTTAAGCATATAGTATTTTATATTCTCTAAGAACTATTATTATATGTTCATAAATGCTATCAATATTTATACATATTATGCTGCTATTACTGTAATAAATATGGATAATGTTAACCAGCTGTAATAATAATCACATTACAATTACTAATCAAATAATTACACCGACCATAACATATATGCTTAGTGAGCAAAACAAATGGACCTTTGACAATATACAATTAACAATTGGACAAATAACTTTTGATCCAATGATCTTCAAGTTCTAGGATTAAATTTAAATGGTTTTAAACGGTGATTTGACATATGATAATTAGATTTCACGATATTTTAAATTGCGAAATCTAACACTAAAACCTTTTCTTTCAGCGGATTTAGATTTCTGACTCTTAAAATATAGGTATTAAAAGCAATCTATGAAACATGGTTCCTATAGTTTGGTCAGGAGAGTGGTCCAGTGTTTGAGCCTCAATTTTACTTTTTGGGTGATTCGCCATATTTCCAGAACTCTTTTAGTGTACTCAAAATTAGTTTATCCAAAGATAAATGAGTGCAAAAAAATAAATTTTAGTAAATATTTATAATTTTTTATTACTTGATTTAATAATAGTGAAAAAATTTTGAATTGTGCATATTAATGCACAATTATTTGCATCGTTTTAAAGAACGTAATTTTGCACGGCAAACTTCATAACTTGTGCGAAATTAATCGAATAGTTCTATGAAATCCAAAATTTAGAGGTACGAATAAGTTATATTTTAAAATCGTTATTGAAATGTATTATCTTAAGGTAAAATGCTAGTTATTACTTTCTCATGTGTTCATTTGCATTACATATTTAATATATCTTGGTTCTATTCATTACTTTTGATATAATGATAGTAATTATATGATATATTCATTATTTTTGACATAACATTTAGATACTTTTGAGTATTCTAAATTTGACAGATCTCTAATAATTTACACCAATCACATATACAGTAGCGGAAAGTGGGGTCAATTGTAACATTTTTTACTTAACTATTTTTAACTAACAAAAAATCCAATATATTATTAGTATTAATTGGCAGACGAGTAAAGTAGACTATCCTGTACTAGAAAAAAAATATATACCTTATTTTAAATTATTATATTAGTTATTAACAATTTTTGACAATCGTGCACTTGTTACAATTGTCCCCACTTACGGGGTCAATTGTAACAGTTCATAAATTCAACTAAAACATAGTTAATTATACATATTATCATAGTTGTGATATATTTTTTTATTGATCAAAATAGTAGTGATATTTTAGGAGTAAAAATAATAATGAGCAGAGACCTAAAGGGTTAAACTTTTAACTTTAAGGGGTTAAAAATTTTAATTTATGCTGTGAAAGGTGACAAATAAAATAATGCACATGCAACATAATATAAATGATATAGGAAACTATTGGTGGTTCTTAAAGAGTTAAGTAATGGTTTGTAAACATAAGATTATTTATTTTCAGCTGTTACAATCGTCCCTTTACTTATTGTTACAATTGTCCCCAAGACGCCATTTCAGCTTCATTTGTTAAAAACAATGCTAGTTAATTAGCAAAACTAATTTTTTTTTTATTGAAATGTTAATTAAAGTGTCCACTTACATATTCGGTTACTAATTTTTATTTGTTTAAACAAAATTACTTTGTTACAATATAATATTCTAATACCAAAAAAAGTACTTGCGTGGCGTGAAAATATCTTTTGTGATGTAACTCTTTCAAAAGTACATAAAAATGGTTGCCATCAGGGGTGTACATGTAGATTTATTAAATACACCTTGTGCTCCACCTAGGAACCAAATCTAGAACCCGAAACTCGAAATTTTTGCTCTGTTACAATCGCACCCTGTTACAATCTCCCCTACACAAAAAAAACTGATCACCCTAGATAACTTTTGATCCAACTATCGGATTTTCACTTTCTGGGGCTCAATCTTACTGGCTCAAGGGGGTGATCTCAAATTTGCTAATTAATAAGCGCCGCAATCTAGGAAATATGGCCCCTGTAGCTTGGTAGGGACAGTAGTCCAAAGTTTGGACCCCCTAATGTTAATTTTACTTTTTGCATATTTCACCATATCTCGGGATTTAAGTGAATTGAAAGAATTTTACACTAAGACATAAAGCTCGTTTATCCAAAAATAATTTCGCACAAAAAATAGTAATGTTTTATTTTTTTCATTATTTTAATTAAGAATGGTCAAAAAAATTTTGAATAGTACAGTATACAATTTCTTGCTTCATTTTAAAGAATACAATTTTATATAATAAAAAACAAAATGTGAGCTCAAGCAGTCAAATAGTTCCTGAGAGATCAAATTTTGAAAAAGTCATTTTTTTAAAATTTGATTTCTCAGGAACTATTCGAACGATTTTGCATTTTGCCATGCTTACCAATTTCGCACCACAATATAGTAAAATTTACTGTGTTTTTGGCTCCTTGGAAAGAAATCAAACTTTATTTGTAACAGAAGCGCTTTGGTAATGATTTTGGTAAAATGAATAATAAAATATGGTTTCATAATATAGGATAAAATTTGGTAAAATCAGCAATTTTATCCTAATACTTGAGAGTATGGCATACAAACCATTTATTTCGTTAAATTTGCTATCTGGTTTAATGTTTTTTAGTAAATGTATGGTAAAAAGAACTGTAGTTTAAATACCAGAATTTCCGGTAAACCGTATCAGTATGAATGGGAAATTTACCAAATGAGGGATTTAAATTATTTTTATTTTATTAACCAGTATTATGTTTTTTGTCAGAAATTTCATTACCAAACAGTATGGTAATTTTAGCATACTTTCTTCTCCATGTAAAAACGTGTATTTAAAAGTAAGCGTTTGATTGGTAATTCCTCTTCAAATGATGGAAATGAGAGATGGAATGATGGATTTATTGTTTAAACATGTTACATCATTTGGGGAGAAAAAAATATTATTTATCTTTTTAGTATCAAGAAGAAATCGAATTCCACGTATCCTTTTGTACAATTAATGCATATTTTATACTGTGGGAAACGCTGATAAGCTTTTTACGCAACTGTTGCATCCGATTTTTAATTGCTTAAGAAATATAGCAATTGAAGAAATAGATTTTATGATAGCTGTCACTCTTTTCAAACAGCCTACAATAGTACACAATTTATACATAATAATATTTTTAATTAAAAATAATAGTCATCAAATGTTGTTTAATGCTAAGTAAAACCTTTAACCGGTATTTTTAACTGCACATTTTTCTGAAATTAACATATATACTAAAACTTCTGTCGTTAAAATTGTTTATAATTGATTATAATTAAATAGATTTATACATTTTAATTAAATCTTTTTTGAAAAATTAGGAATATTTATTTCATCTAATGGAATACATTATTCAAAGCAATAAATTTTAATCTAAGTTTTATTTTTTCCAAGATGGTCGGCACTGAGGAAACAAATATGGTCAAAACTACAAGAATATGGTAAAATTTACCATCTTTCCAGCTGTATGGAGCACCAAAAAGTACGACAAATATTATGCACTTTGGAGATGTAGTATGGCAATTTTACCAGATTTTTTTTCTCCGTGTGGGATAAAACATCTGATTTTCTTTATGGTTTAAGGTTTTTGCTAAAATCAGTACATTTGCAAAAAAGCAAACGCATTTAACAAATCATAATACATAAATCATGCTACTGTATCAATATTGAGAGCTAAAAAACAGTTGAAAGATATAATGTTAATTGATTGCTGAGTGATTTTATTAAAATATGGATTTACATAATAATAGAACTACATGCCTTCCAGTATATTTCAGCTAAACCACATTATTTAGAGTAAGGAAAAATCGGATGTTATTAAATAAGTTTCTGAAGTTAACTAATTAACTTAAATGTTATAAACTGAAACTATCAATAAGTATTATTCGCCTCAATAATGCCTCTTTGTAAGACTCATGTAAACTGTCACTAAAATTAACAGTCGATAAAAATGATTAATGAGCAAAGATTATGTATTCTTCTAACTTGTAGCTCTTTAGAGCAGTTTTCGAAATTTTGGAGATAATAAAAATACAATTTGAACTAGAACGGCTAATTGATTATGTTAGTTAATGAGGTAAAAATCGAGCATACTAAATAACTCAACTATATAAATTTAAAAGAACACTAGCTTTGTCTGTAAATAATAATTCGATACTGTTGTGAAATATTATGTGCTTATGCGCATCGTATTTTTTGTTAAATAACTTATTTATTTTATATCAGTTTGAAGATGGCAACGAGAAAAGTTTTTGTATTTGCCATGGTAAGTTTCGATTGTAAATACTGTTTTGAGAGAGTAAGAGATTCGTTTTTTTTTTTTTTTTTTTTTTTTTTTTTTTTTTTTTTTTTTTNTTTTTTTTGGAACTGCGATGCTGTAATTTTATTGTTTAGTTAATAAATCTTCCTTTTATATTAAACGTAATAGCAGAGTTTTAATTATTTGATTCGAAGTCCTTTGAGTTTTATTTGAGGTCAGTAAGTATTTTGTATTTTTTGACATATGGCGTCCGCGACAGGACTTTGAATTTCTGTTGAGATTTTAGAACACGACTATTACTGAATCTGAGTGAAAATGGAAATATTGAAGCAAGTGAGAACACAGCATCGTAGATTGTTTACTCAGTCATGCAATGATTTTGCAAAAATTGAGACTGATAATATGAACGATGAAGAGAAATTGTTGAAATTAAGAATCATATCAGAAAAAGGCAAGCAATTACTTGTATCTGAAGAAAATGTAAGAACTGAATTGTTTTCGGAAGTTCGAGATGAAAAAGAAATTGATAAAGAAATAGATGATTCCGAAGTATATATTGATAAAATTAGAGTTTCTGATATTAAATTGGAAGATTTACTTTCTTCTACTTCTGAAAAACATAATATGTCCGTTACTAACCATTTAGTTGTTGGTCCGACAAATTTGCAGTATCCAAAGATTAAGCTTCCAGTCTTTGATGGAAATTTGAAAAACTGGCTCAGTTTTTGGTGCAAATTTGAGAAAATTGACAAAGATCCAAATATTGGCGACCATGATAAATTTCTTTATTTATCGCAATCCATGTTAAAAGGATCACCTGCTGATGAACTTTTAAGGAGTTTTCCTCCGAGTGGAGAGAGTTATAAAACTGCAATTAATCAACTTAAAACTTGGTATGGAAAGGAAGAATTGTTGATTCAAGTGTATGTGAGAGAGTTATTAGCTTTAGTATTACAGAAACAAAGCAAATCTGAGAAATCTCTGCGGAAACTTTATGATCAACTTGAATCAAAACTTCGATCATTAGAAGTGTTAGGAGTAACAAGAGAAAAATATGCTGCAATGTTGTTTCCTCTAGTCGAGTCGTCAATTCCAGAGGAAACGAAGGCGTGGGAAAGATATCGAACAATAAATAAGCAGTCAGTTGTTCATGTTGTTCCAAATGTTGAAGGAGCTGAACCAACTATCAAGACTGACTTGGATACTTTGCTAGAGTTCTTAGAGGGAGAAGTAGAGGCTGAAGAGAGAGTGAACATGGCATCTCAATCCTTCGTGAGAGGTACAGATGATAGTGAGAAGCGAAGAATTCCTACGAACGGTAGATTCCAGTTGAAACAAAAATTTGGTAAATCAGCACAAGTACTTTCCACTTCTGAATTGCTTACATCACCACATGAAAGGAAAAAATGCCTTTTTAGTGAAAACCAGCACAATTCTTGGGATTGTGAATATGCAAAAAATAGGAGTTTAAATGATAGAGAAACTTCTGTTGCTAGATCACTTTGTTGTTTCTTATGCTTATGACCAGGCCACAGAGTAATAAATTGCAGACGGAAACCATGCTTTAATTGTGGTAAAAGGCACAACATACTTTTTTGCAGAGGAGTTGCTGCCAGTAATGAAGTTCAAAATCCAGAGAGTAAAGCAACCGAAAGTGTCGTTGGCAATTATGTTATGTATTCAAATTATGTTATGATTATGATTATGTTATGATTATGTCAAACGCATCCCTAATGGTCCATGGATGAAGGAGTTGAATGAATATGGAATATGTGTGAATGATACAGAGTACAGTTCTCTAGGAGTATCAAATGACGTCAAATTATTACTTGGAGCTGATGTGGCCGGCAAGCTTTTCACAGGCAATGTAAAATGTTTGATTGAAGGTCCTGTTGCCGTTGAGTCACATCTAGGGTGGACTCTTATGGGGAAGATACCTATAAATGATATTGCTGTGACGACAAATTCTTCTCTTTCATTGCTTTTAACTGAAGCATCAGTGAATCAACTGTGGTCATTGGATGTTTTGGGAATCACAGATCCATCTGCGAAGAAAGTGCAGGCAGAGTTGCAAAGAGCTACACAAGAGTACTTTTTGGAGACAATCAGACTAGATGTAGAAAACCGTTTTGTGGTTAGCATGCCTTGGCTGGAAGATCATCCTCCATTGCCAACCAACTATGACCTGGCGTATAAAAGATTGAATTCGACTGTCAACCGCCTTAAATCGCAGTCGATTTATAAAGAGTATGAGCAAGTTTTTAATGAATGGATGGAGGAGGGAATAATAGAAGAAGTAAAGGATAATTGTGAGGAAAATGTACACTACCTACCTCATCGTGCAGTTATAAAACCGAATAGCACCACCAAAATTAGACCCGTATTTGATGCTTCAGCTAAGGCCAAAGGTTTTCCAAGTTTAAATGACTGCTTAGAGAAGGGTGAAAATCTTATTGAATTGATACCAAGCATTTTGATGCGGTTTAGGACTGAGAGAATTGGTGTCGTTTCAGACATACGTAAAGCCTTCTTACAAATCGGACTTACTGAAACTGATAGGAATTACTTAAGATTTTTATGGCTTAGTGATACAGGCTTGAAGATTTACAGGCATTGCAGGGTAGTATTTGGAGTAACCTGTAGCCCATTTTTGCTGTCCTCAACTATCAAATACCTTCTGATGAATGTTTTGAAAGAAATAAGGGAACAAAAAGCTACTTATCCTGAATATGTTGTACAAAAACTAATGAAAAGTTTTTATGTGGACAATTGTGTGACGAGTGTCAAGGATACAGAAGAATTGAATATGTTTGAAAGAGTTGCTACTGAAATAATGGCAAGTAGAAAATTCGATCTTAGAGGGTGGGAGTACACCGACTTAACCGAGGAAAATTCACAGCCACCTACAAATGTTCTTGGTATGAGCTGGGATAAGAAATATGATACTCTTCAAGTGAGTACAGGTTGCATTAAAGAGCTTAACATTGAGAAAGTAACGAAGAGAACCATCCTGTCAGCTGCACATAGACTTTTTGACCCCTTGGGTATGATCTGTCCTGTAACGTTGATCCCAAAATTGCTTCTTCAGAGCATTTGGAAGTTGAAACTGAATTGGGATGATGATGTTGATGAAAACACCAGAAGAGAATTTTTAAAATGGATTGAAGGTGTACTGCACATTGAGAAAATTAATATTCCAAGGTATTTTGGACTAAGTGGATCCAAGAAGTGTTCCATATATTTACCTCAAGAATTGTGGACTTCGTCTGAATATGTCGTTAATGAGGAGGAAGTAAACTGTGAGAAAAGAAAAGGCGTCACAACCTCAATGATAAATTTTGAAGTGACTAAACTTTTGAGTTCTAATATTTCTGATAATCGAAAAAGTGTACATACTATGGTGTGGGTGACAAGATTCCTTTTTAATTTCAAAAATGAAGAAAGAAGAAAAGGAGATCTTTCTGTAAGGGAATTAGAGGAAGCTGAGAAAATCACTGTATACTTGATACAACAGGAGTCATTTACAAGAGTTTCAGATGAAAGCCTTAAAACTTTGGATGTATTTATTGGGGAGAAAGGAATCTGTAGATTAAAAACAACTGTATATAAGAGTAATGATTTTGAGGAGTTCAGAACACCTGCTGTTTTACAAGGAGAGCACGCTATAGTAAAACGTTTAATACTATCTGAATATAAGAAAAGGGGACATGCTGATGTTTCAAACTTATTGAATTTTCTTGGAGAAAGATTTTGGCTGCTGCGTGGTAGAGGAAAAGTAAAATCTGTATCGAGACCTTGTGTAGTATGCAAGCGTTCTTCAACCAAACTTGTAGACCCACCAACTGCATCTCCACCAAGTGAGAGAGCTCAAGACGCAGAGGTTTTCCAAGTAACTGGTGTGGACCTTGCTGGTCCTGTGATTTTGAAAGACAATCCAAAGGGCTGGATATGTATTTTTACCTGTGCCGTTTATTTTACAGGGAGTGGACAAGCTGTTAAAAAGGCTTGACAAACTACATTTATAAGAACTGCATAGTGATTTAGAACTTTAATTTTTATTTCAAAATTCTTGCAAAGTGTCATTTTAACATATCTTTAAGCTATGTAAGTTAACTTTGCTAATGTTGTTAACTTAGGTGGGAGGATGTGAAATATTATGTGCTTATGTGCATCGTATTTTTTGGTAAATAACTTATTTATTTTATATCAGTTTGAAGATGGCAACGAGAAGAGTTTTTGTGGTTGTCATGGTAAGTTTCGAATGTAAATAGTGTTTTGAGAGAGTAAGAGATTTGTTTGTTTGTTTTTTTTTTGTTTTTTTTTGAACTGCGATGCTGTAATTTGATTGTTTAGTTAATAAATTTTCCTTTTATATTAAACGTAATAGTAGAGTTTTAATTATTTGATTCGAAGTCCTTTGAGTTTTATTTGAGGTCAGTAAGTATTTTGTATTTTTTGACAACTGTAGAGTGAGTGATATTAACAGATAATGATTAAGTTGCTCTATGCAGGCATGAAAAATAAAGCGTCAATGTTTAAAATTTCAAAACCAATTACATAACAAATGTTAGGTAAGCAAGTAATATTTCTCTTAAAAATCATTCAAAAAGAGTGTTGTTACTGAAACCTTTTGGGGATCTAGTTTATGTGATTTATCGAGCAGATCTTTACAATAGAGCATGGTGCTTAAAGTAGTAAAATTCATTTTCGAAAAACGATGTACAAAACAAGCTATAGTATTTCAAGGGTAAAACTTTTCGCGCTCTGTGACCGTTGGTCGACACTGTTTTCTGATGACGAATGATGGTTTCGTTATTGTAAAAGATATACGGAAAGTTAACGAATAATTAAATATGTTCACTAAAATTATGGTGAGAAGTACTGGCACTCAGGGTGTCGGTACTTTTTACCGTAAAATCCATTCTTACCTTAAAATTTCACAGATTGAAAAATTCAGTAATTTAAACAGTAGCACTAAACTCAGTGGAGCGACAGTCCATAGAGGATCAAAGCCTACTGTTCCCACATAAATTTTGCCCTCTAGGAGTAGGTGCAGATGTTTCGGTTGGGTTGTCAGCTGACATCGGAACCCAGAGTGTTTAGTCCCCTTGGTATTCATTTTATCGACCATTGAAAGGATGATAGACTGAGTCAAATTTGCCCGGCTCGAAGATCGTACCCGGAACCTGTGGCACGATAGCGCAGTAATATTATCATAAAATAACTGAATCACTGTACCTTAATAAATATTATTGCAAAAATTAAAATTTTTAAATTTTAGCGTAAAAAGGTTTTTACAGATGCTGCAGTCAATGTGCTTGTATTTTTCACTGTAATTTGATCCGGAATTTTTTTTAAATTTTGTGGCTAACAAACTTAGTTATGACACATATTTATTATTTTATAACATTAGTGACTTTTTATTTCTTTAAATGAAGCATTTTTCATAAACTATCACCTAATTAGCCAAAATTCAATTATATCTTGATTAATCAATAATTCGAACAAACATGGGAAAAAATTTTCGTTACTGAAAAAGTGTTTTTGTTTTATAGGGTATACTGCAATTAGATATTTTAATTAAATTTATTGAATAAAAAATGAAATTGTAATCTTGTTTTCGTGATAATTTTCATTTCACTTTTTGCAGTCTTCTTTTACAGTCTAATAATTTCTATCAAATATTTTATAAGACAAAAAAGAGAAAATTCATATTATTTTAGACTAAGAAATGAGCTTGGAAAAACGAGTAGTATCTTTTGTTAAAAACGTAAAATAAAAATAAAAAATTCAATAAACGAATTATTTTCTGTTAAAGTTTTTCTGAATACTTTGAATATTTATAAAAATTGATTTTTTTATTAGAAATATAACAAAGAGATTTAAGAAATGTGATAAGTAAATTTCGATTGCTGGAAATACTCAGGTTGAAAAAAAAAAAGAATTTTTTTCCAAATTCGAGCACTTGGAATGTGTTAACGTATAATATAAAGTTTTTTAATATGTGCTGTTAAAATAATATATAACGTGCTTAAAATAACTTCTACTAAAAATCGCATTTTTTTTTCTTCTAAAAACCATAGTTTTCGATCTCACTGTATTTATATTAAATAAAATACATAATCATGCGATTTTCATTCCTTTTTTATAAAAATTTTGGTAAATGTAATTCATATTTCATTAAAAAAGCAATTTTTGATCTTTTTACCATTGATAATAATTCAAAAGTTCTTTTTTACAAAAAATAAAAAATTATGAAGCTTATAAAAGTTTTAAAAATAAACATAGCAAAATGCAGAAATGCAAACTTAATGATATCAAAATTTAAAAAGAGAGATATTTCTAGAATTTTATTATGGAAAAAATGACTCAAAATCTCAGAAAAAAACAAAATAAAAATCATATTAATTTATATATTATCAATGCGGAGTGAGTGATAAGTATATTTTCAATGAAATATTTTTTTTTCTAGTATAAATATTTTAAAATTTACAGATGTTGCGTCTTATGCAACTCTTCAGTAGACACATTAATTCATATAAAACAGCGAGCTATAAACTTTCTTTTAAATGTTAGGAAAAAAAATCGAAAGTTCATTTAATATCTAATGTTGGAAGACTATTTAAAACAAACACTGTCAGAAATTTCTCGCAAAAAAATATGGTTAAGCAGCAATTTATTTAATTGTCATTTTACCATATTCAAACAAAACAGTCAACTAACTATAAATAAGATACTATTCAAACTGTTAACAGAAAAAAAGTCATTTATTAACTGTTTTCACCTGATACGGTTAAGCAACCAGAATTTTATCGCACCAACTAGATCCGCCAAATGAAAATAGATGGGTACATATTGCAGCCGAGAAGGTTAATCTGTCCCTCCAATGGACAGGGTTCGATTACTAGCATGGACAACACGATATTTTCTCCATTCCCTTCAACGAAATATTTCCAGCATTGAAGACCTAAAGAAAAGCCTCACTCCAATAAAAATTTATTTTTTAAGTAGTAGTAAAGTTTATTTTTTACGGTTTTGAAACCATGCTAGTTGTAAATGGTTAAGAAAACATATAGTATTGTATTTATGGCTTTTTAACCGTACTATTTATAACCGGTTTGAAAACCGCAAAGGAAAAAGATTGTCCTTACCGTAAACTTTACGGTTAATTGGAAAGAGAGATTTCTGCCAGTTATTTTGCCGTGATTTTGGAAAGAGTAGATATCTACCCGAGTAGGATGTTTTTAAATCTAGTTAAATTTAAATGGTTATCAAATTTCAATCACTATCAAGACTAAAATGAATACACAATATTGCAAAACAACAATTATTATTTTTCGCGAGAATATTTTTTTAGTACTAGTAGCTTTTTGCGCTAAGTAATTTCTTTAGTCTTGCTTTCTTCCAAACAAGAAGATGAAGCTTGCTATGTTTGATAAGCAAAATCTAATCCGTAAATGAAACAAAATGCTTAGTTCACTGAAAATAAATTTAATCTTTATACTCAGGAATAATAGTTACATACTCATATAGGTTACGAAATGTTTTAAATAAGTGGAATATGCATTACAGCAGTTATTGGGATGGAAATAATTAAACATCGTTGAATAACACTTAGGTTTAGGTTTTGGGAAATAATTAAAATTTAAATGCGGAGAAGGTAAATTAAGATCAAGCAAAGAAAAACATTTTTTTAATTATGTATGAGGCACGCGTTTACACCTTAAATCAAATTTAAAAAGAATAGTTTCAAACATAATGAAATATAGAATATAAAATTGTTTGAACTAATGAAGTCAATATTTACCGGTTAAACCTAATTAAATTAATTTTGCTTCTCAGTTTTCAAAAAAAAAAAACGATAAACCAATATTAAAAAAGACGACATATTTCTTTGTCAAAATGTGTTCCGTTTTTTTACGTTCTTCTATGATTAATCATCTACCCGAATTAATTTAAAATTCATTTTTCATCGGGTACATAAAACTAAATCAAATATTTACGCTTGGTTTCGTTCATTTAACTTTTTTTTAATTTTTTTCTTATAAGCCTTATCTATAATACTTTCTTGTATATCGTTTGAAATTAAATATTTATGATACATTTCAATAAAAAAATTTAAATTGGGAAAAATAGTTTGAAAAATATTTCATATGAATAACATATATGCCTACAAATTGTTTTTTTTTAACAATTGTTAATCACTTTCAGGTTAAAGTTTACAAAGTTACATAAATTTCAGATTTTGGAGGAAAAAAATTGATTTTGACATTGATTATTAAATTCTGCAATGATTAAAAATATTTACTTAGAAACAAAATCTTTTTCGAGAAATCTTTACTGAGAAACAAAAAAGTAATAAATATAGTATGTCTGTGAGAAATTGCATTCAAGTAAAGTTACGCTTATCTTTAATCATAACTTCGAGATACATAAATGCGAACTATGAATTAACAAGTTGACAAGTAAAACTATTAGTTTTTGATTTAAAAAAAATACGTTTGCTGTCATTGCAGTTTAAAACAAATATAGAAATAGAAATTTGCTAGTTTCAAAAATCTAAATTTGAAAATAAAAAAAAACACAGTGACAGTTATTTTTTAACAAGTTAGAAGGCTCTATCCCCTGCTCTGTCAGCTCACTGACCCTTATGATGATTTCTCTCCATTCAATGTCATTTTTTCTTCCTTAAAGAAACCAATTTTATTTTCAAAAAAAATTTTTTTAGTGGTTTATATGATCATTACAATTTCATGCTAGAACATTTTGTCACTATTCTAATTGTGACGAAAAAAACAATTACCTAGATTTGAAAAGTAATTGTCTGTATTCAAAAGTAATTTATCAAAACGAGGATCAGTTTTAAAATAATAACAGATTACGCATCGTGTCCGCGCATCCTGTCAAGTGACGTTAGTTCATGCGGCATGGCAACTCTTGGGAAGTTTTTCACTTCGCCGCCATTTTGTTTCATTTATCTGCCGGTGTTAGTTGTATGAGTGCACTGTT